AAAGGCCAGATGGAACACGTACAGACATATATTATTATGTAGAGGGAACAGACACCCGTTTTAGATCCTATAATGATATTGAAAAGTATTGTGAGGCAAGAAATATTAAATTTGAAAAAGATAAGTTCGATTTTAGTGGAAAAAACGAATACTCGGGGAAAGTTAATTTTGTAGAACAGGAGACTAGCTCCGTGTCTGAAGAGGCAAATTCCGTAGAAATAGTTATCCCACAAAATTTTAAAGAAGCACGAAAATCAGTAAATGCCGAAGAATGGGATAAGGCAATGAAAGAAGAAATTGACACAATAAAAGAAAAGAAAGGTTTGGGAATTAGTCGAAAAGCCAGAAAATAAAACTATAATAGGAAACAAATGGGTCTATACGCTAAAAAGAAATGAAAAGAATCAAGTGGTTAGATACAAAGCACGCTTAGTAGCACAGGGATTCAGGCAGAAAAGAGGTGAAGATTTTGATGACGTTTACAGTCCTGTAGTAAATTTTTCAGTCATAAGAATATTTTTCATATGGATGGACTAATTGTCAGTTAGATGTAAAGAACGCATATTTATATGCAAACCTAAATGAGAAAATATATATGACCCAACCAGAGGGATTTATCGAAGAGGAAAATAAAGTGTGTTTATTACACAAGGCCATTTACGGTCTACATCAAAGCGGCCGTGAATGGTTTTGTGAATTTGAAAGTACTTTAGAAAATCTACATTTTAAGAAAATACAATGGTGTAATTGTGTTTATAAGGGTTCAAATGTAATTCTCTTGTTATATGTAGATGATATTGTGATTTTTAGTAAAGATCAATATAGTATAGATAAAGTAATTTCACAGCTGAGTAAGTTTTTTGATCTTAAAGTATTAGGCAAAACTAAAACATTACTTGGAATTGAATTCTTAGAGAATGAGAAGGGGTTTTTTTATACATCAGCAAAAATATATCGAAGAAATTTTTGAAAAATTTAAACATTTCCAGATACCAATAACTTCACTTCCCATAGCTAAGGGCACTATTCTTACAAAATTAGATTGTCCATCTACAAGTGCAGAAATTACGGAAATGCATACATTACCCTTTAGAAATCTGTTAGGATGTTTAGTTTTTGTAGCTAACAGGACAAGGCCTGATATTACATATGCAGTGAATATCTTATCACAATTTCAGGAGAATCCTGGAATTAGGCATTGGGAAGCATTGTTGAAATTGCTTGGTTATCTCAATAGTACTAAATTATATAAGTTAAACATCTAAATTTACATTGTTATTCAGATGCTGATTATGCAAGTAATAGAGATGACCGCGTGTCCATGGGAGGATTTATATTATATTTAGATGAAGTAGTACCGGTAATCTGGAAACCTGTTAAACAAAAATGTGTAAGTTTATCAACCATGGAAGCGGAGTATATCGCCTTATCTGAAGCAGCGAAGGAATTAATGTGGACGAAAAATGTCTTACAAGATGAAATTTTAAAGTTTAAGTTAAGAGAGTGTAAACTATTTTGTGATAACAAGTCTGCCATTGATTTTTCTAGATCGCCAATAGAAAATCGCCGAACTAAGTACGTAGACGTAAAAATATCACTTTGTTAGAAGACTAGCAAATGATGGAGTGTTTGACCTTGAATTTATCACCAGTAAATTAAATAATGCCGACTTATTTACAAAAGCAGCGACTGCTGTTAATTTAAGAAAGTTTTGTTTAGATGTTTTCAGTGTTTAAAGACAATAAATGTTTTCGTATAATAGAATTGAACTATGAACTTCTGTGAAAGTTTTGTTTTTTTGTCTTTGCATGGGGAAAAGAGGGCCGTTTGTTGGCTTTAGTTTTCCACATGCAAATTTTGATCGGAGGTCGAATCGGCGGTAAGCTAACGTGGTTGCCGCTGATTGGCCGATGACGTCAAGATCGGCGGGTTGGCCGAGTATAATATATATGTACGCCGGTATCGGCGAATTTTGTGTTCTTGTTCTCTTGTGTTATTATGAGTTAGCATAATGCTAGTTTGCTTTCACTCAAATGATTTTAAATGTAAAGGCTACAGTGTTAGCTCTTTTATTTTATTTACGGAATAAAGCATGAATTTTATTTAGTTTAGTCTTAGCTTTATTTTAAGGAAGCAAAATGCTTTGCCTTTATCACATGCCATTACTATACCAATACATGTTTTTTCTCAAAATTGAAAGACGAAAAGATGAAAATTTACAAAGAAAACCGTAAAAGAACGGTTAATCTTTGGATTCAGTAATCGGCGATTTGAAATTGCAACTAACCGTACAGACCTCTAGCTTTGTTTGGCGCCATTTGTTTTCACGAAGTAAAGGCATTTTTTTTTTTTTTTTTACTCAACATTTTCCAGCAATCTGCGAGCCGAATTACGCTTATGCTAGAACTTTAATGGAACAAAAGTGCTTAATCATGACGAAGATTATTGCAAAATGGGAAAAAGTGCAGAATCGCAAACTGCTTGCCGCGTTTTTAGAATTGCACAACACGGTATCATCCATGTACACGTCGACCTATTTTCACTTAAAAAAACATCCCAGAATTGCACAAAAATGGCATTGCGCACACTCTTGACTTTATCCATGTACACTGCTTAAGTCCTAGCTAGTAACCTTTATCGCCTTACCAAAATGTCTCCAAACTACTAGTTACCATATTCCAAAGATTAGCCAAAAGAACATGTATGAAATTACCTGATCGCAAAAAATATATACCCTTTCCAAAGATGAACATTTCCACATATAAAATAAATAAAATATCCAAAAACTTTTACCTCTAAATTATCTATTATATTATAAACGTCACCAACGAATTCATACCGCAAACATTACAAATGGTTACAGATACTTAGTGTCAAATATTTAAATTACTTCCATACATAAAATTCACAAAATAACAATCATTTAATTAAAATATCACTAAACCATGTACACATTGACTTATTTTTACTTAAAAAAACATCCCAGAATTGCACAAAAATGGCATTGCACTCACTCTTCACTATATCCATGTACACTGCTTTTTTCTCATAAATTAGGAAAATTTCACGAAAATGCATGAAAATACTCAACGTATTCTACTCAAACGTATTCCAAAATACTACAAACATATAACTCACAAAAATCACGATCATTAAATTAAAATATAATTAATTAAAAAACACTACCAAAATAAATAAGCACATACATTAATTAATAAAAAATTAGATTCCAATTCCTAATTACTTTAAAGTAAATCATTGATAATAACAATTTCCAATAATACCATATTAATATTTTCTCCTTACATTTAGAACAATGCATAAAAATAATATCCTCAAATGATTAAAAATACTAACTTACCTAATCTTCAGAATCTTCATTACATGGCACGCACACTTCACCATTTCACACAAACACAAATGAAGCTTAATACAAATAATATAGTACTACAGTTTTCAAATTCCCCCCCTTTTCCGATTAAAGAACTGTAATTCGTCCATTAATGTCACATGACATATCTCATGATCTCTCATTTCCCCTCACACAAAATAATGCGTAATCAGAACTGAGGACATCTCACATTATTACCAAAGTCCTAGGTAGTAACCTTTATCGCCTCCAAAATTTCGCCAAACTACCAGTTACCATATTCCAAAGATCAGCCAATTTTTTTAATTTATGAGAAAAAAGCAGTGTACATGGATATAGTGAAGAGTGTGTGCAATGCCATTTTTGTGCAATTCGGGATGTTTTTTTAAGTAAAAAAAGTCGACGTGTACATGGTTCAGTGATATTTTAATGAAATGATAGTTATTTTGTGAATTTTATGTTGTAGGAATTGGTATACGTTTAAGTTGAAATAAACGTGCATGGAAATAATTTAAATATTTGATACTAAGTATTTGTAATGCTTTGCAGTATGAATTCGTTGGTGACGTTATATGTAATAGATGATTTAGAGGTAAAGTTTTGGATATTTTATTTATTTTGTATGTGGAAATGTTCATATTTGGAAGGGTAAACTTTTTGCGATCAGGTAATTTCATATATGTTCTTTTTACCGGGTTTAAAGATGAGAAAATTGTCATGTATTTTTGTGTGAAATTTTTCTAATTTACGAGAAAAAAGCAGTGTACATGGCTATAGTGAAGAGTGTGCGCAATGCCATTTTTGTGCAATTCTGGGATGTTTTTTAAGTAAAAATAAGTCGGCGTGTACATGGTTTATGTGTATGTGTTATTTTAAAAATGGTAAGGAGGATGGTATTGTGCAATTTTCTAATTTGCAGTGAATATTTGTCATGATTAAGCAGTTTTGTTTGATAAAATTTCTAGCATAAGCGTAATTCGGCAAGTAGTACTTTTTCGGGATCAAGTAATTTCATATATGTACTTTTTACCGAATTTAAAGATTCACAAAATTTTCATGCATTTTTGTGAAATTTTTCTAATTTATGAGAAAAAAGCAGTGTACAAGGATATAGTGAAGAGTGTGCGCAATGCCATTTTTGTGCAATTCTGGGATTTTTTTTAAGTAAAAATAAGTCGACGTGTTAAATGGTTTATGTGTACGTGCTATTCTGAAAACGCGCAAGGAGTTTGCGATTGTGCACTTTTTTCCCAATTTTGCAGTTATAATATTGTCATGATTAAGCAGTTTTGTTCCATAAAATTTCTAGCATAAGTGTAATTCGGCTAGCAGATGGTTGTAAAAAGTGTTGAGTAAATAAAAAGAAAAGAAACATGTCTTTACTTCGTGAAGACAAAATGGCGGTGAAAAAAAAAATAGAGGGTTGCTGTAGCAGAGTTTGTCACCAAATTTTCGCCAAAAAATCACCAAGTTACCATAATCCAAAGATTAACCAATTTTAATTCATGTAAATTACTTTCATAAAAATGTTGCAGTAATATTTTTCAAAATTAACTATCATATCCAATAACAATATAAAAAGATAAATAAATAACTTACATTACAGAAAATAGATAAATAAATAACTTACATTACAGAAAATTATTTTGATTGAAATGTAAGTCGTCGCAATGCGACCTTGGCTGAACTGTCATTTAAAGAAAGTTTAGCCTACTTTCATCCATGAAAAATATAAAGGCAACAGGGAGCTATCACAGCTGTGCGTTTGACAATTGCTTTCAGCATTAAAAATATTAAGTTACGACTAAAAGACCTACGTAAAAATACCTAGAATAATGTTTTATATAAAAATTATTTAAATAGTTTCTCCAAGGCCTCGCAAGGCCAAAGAGAGTTAACTTCACGACCTACATTCGACTGTCATCAGCTAGAGACAAATTTTAGGCCTATGGCGTCAACAAACCATCTACAAAACCGTGATGCCAATTCTACCGAAGTTTAATATTTAAGCAGACGGAATGCATAATGCTTTCTCTATACATTGTTTTCTCAGACTCGTAATCCAACTTTTTGTGTATTAGTTAATGTCTGATCATGATATAATATCGTAATTCTTTTGGTCTTAGAAGTAATAAACAATACTCGAATTACACGGGACCTTTTTTAAAATTGTCTTTAAATTTGAGAGACCTTTGTTCTTTTTGTTTGCTTGTTTATCTATTATAAGAAAAACCTTGCTTTCTACACACAGATCGTATTTTATTCTCGAGTGTCAAGATGTAGAAACATCTTTTTACTCGACTTCTGATAAAGATCGGGAGGGGGGAGAAAGAGAAGGGTGAAAGGAGTGTGGGAGGCTTATGAAAGAGAGTAAGGTCCACACTAGCGGCGGCGAAAAAAGCGGAGGTGTCAAGTTCAGTGTCGTTATAAGATGCAGCCGCGGGTGGTAAAACCGCAGAGTCAGTTTTGCGTGAATGAGTCAATTAAGGTTGTGAATCCTATGTGGGAGGATATCACCAGGGTAGCGATGTTTTTCTCTGGGACGCGGGGAGTGTCTGAGAGTGCTAATAAGGCTATTACTGTGGGTTTGTACTGAATAAAAGAAGTTGACCGTTAATCGTTTAATATACTCTTGAATAATTTCCATTCGAAGGTCTCGTGGATGTAGATGTTGGGAATATACCAAGGAGCATTGATAATTTCTCGTAAAATTTTATTTTGTAGAATTTGTAATTTTTAATATGGTTTTAATCTGCATGTCCCCAGATCGGTGCTGCATAAAGAGAGCTGGGCGCAGTATGGAGCGATAAAGGATTATTTGTCGTAGTAGATAAGTGTTTTTCTACCAAGAAGAGGTCGATAGTAGCTGTGTGATTTTAAATTTTTGTACTACGGACCGGAAATGGGTCTGAAGGTAGTTTTTGGTCAAGGGTGACTCCAAGGTATTTGGTTTCATTAATCCAGTCTATTTCTTCGTCAA